AATGTAGAATATTTTGATTGTTTTACATCATTTCCATAAAAGAAAATTGGGGAACTATTTGTTAAAAATTAATTTAGTCAAAAGGGTGTTTCTGTGGAAAGATCATGACAAATTCAGATTTCACCTGTTGTTGGGAGCTCTTTCAACATCCTCAGTTTGGAGAAGTGGAGATCAATTAGCTAACAGTTAGTCACGGTGAGTTTTCAGTCTCAATCACCATTTTTTAAACCTTTATGCTCATATTAGATTGTTTTTCCTGCTGTATAACGAAAATCCAGCCAGTTGAGTTGCTAGCTCAACGGCAAATTTTTTTTTTACCATAAATAACCACAGCATTCAATGGAATAACCCTGTAATGTGAACATTTTGAAGGTATAAAAATTGTTTCATGACTTTTTGTGACTGGTTTCACTGAGAGGTGGCTAAGTAATCTCTGTTTCTCCAAACTGAGGTTGTTCAAAGAGCTGTCTACACCAGGTGAGACGGAAAATACAATTTCCCCACCAAAACCTGTTTAGATCATATATTAAAACTCTGAATTTGCCACATTTAGAAAAAAATAATAAATTAGTATGTTTATAGTGGAAAGTTGATGTATATATAGTGTTTATACTTTTTATTTAGTATAACATTTTTTGAGAAATAAAACATTAAATTCTGACATTTGCATTAAAATATTTTCTATAACAGATTTTACCGCAAAGACCAAATGTATGCATGTTTATTGTTTAGTTATATCTTTCACAATCCTCTTAAACACTTCATATTTAGCCTTTAGTTTTTACTTTAGATCACCTTTGAAAACTACCTTCATGTCAGTCATCTCCTGTGAGAAAGATGCCAAATTTATTTTTGAAAAGTGCTTACAGATAATTTTGTAATGCAAGTTGAATTATGAGAATTTTACTGAAACACGTTGGACTTTCAGTCCTGCCTTTTTCTCTACATGTCTGCTCCCTCGGTGGCTTGCAGCAAAAAAAAAAGTTTCAGTTACATAGTGTTTTACAATTCCTTTCCTGTGCTTCCCTTTCTGTCACTTCTCCATAATTCTTGGTATTTCAGTTAGACAGGCCCTCTTTCAGAAGCTTCCCCTTTTTTCCATAGATTCCTATATTTCATGATTTCCACTTCTTCCTCTTCAGTTGAACAAGCAGAGGCAAACAGCCTGGTGAAATCAGGCCCGCTAACTGCCGGCTGGCAGCTGTGGGCCGCCGTCTGATCTCTCAAGTGTCTCTGACAAAAAGGAAAGAAATAGAAATGTCGACGTCACTTCTCTTTTTCTTATCTCTGGAAGCAAAATGCATTTATTAATTTTTTTTTAAATCCACCGATAAACAGTAAAGAGAAATAATCGTGCAGTTGTAAAAGCGCGATGCAGTGGAAAGTAAATGAAGGAGATTCTACAAAGGCGCGATGTCTGTGCTCATCGCACCCTGTTGCTCTGATAGATATGTGCTCGTCCTGAGTTTCACACTGCTTCCTGTGTCTCTGTTTCCTGTTTATCTTCATTTGTTTCACCAAAAAGTGATGGTGTGAAATGAGCTGCTGGTTTTTTTTTTTTTTCGTCTCATTGCTGAAACAGCAGACAGGTTATCCACCTGCGAATCCTTACGAAATATCCTGTCCTGCTTAAATGAAGACAGAGGAGGTTAGCATGACAAAGGTCCAGATAAAGAAAGAGAATCAGTTCAGATGCAGCATCAACGCGTGATGATCCTCAACAAGGCACTGCTGTCCTGCCTATCAGGACATGTTTCCTGCAAGGTTAGAGAAAATAACAAAAATTACTTTTAGGATCTTCATTTTTCAACCCAAAATGTAAAGAAGACGTGATTATCATGTTCTGTGTAAAACCTTTAGAAAGTTTTGTTTGTTTTTAGCGTTGCTGTTCCGACAGCAGAATCAGACAGGTGTGGGGGTCAGAGCGGTTTTACTGTAGCCAACAGAGAAAGTCTGAGATACTCCCTTTACTGTATTAATAACATGAATATCCAGATCAGCTACGGCGCCAGAGCGGACGGGCCACGAAAACGGGACAAACAACAAAAACAGGGAATACGAGAGAGAAGAGTGGGTTAGGGGGCCACAAGGGAGCAGTGGGGTAAAGGTAAACAAACAAACAAATTACTGTCATAAAAGACGGTGTCCATATTACGTATGTAATCGTGGGTGGGTGCATGGACGTAATTTTCACTTTAGAAGTGGGGGGGGGGGGGGACACGGGGGTGGGGGTATCTTTACAGTATGCTCTAATGGGAAACGGGCTTCAACACAAATGGTTGTTTTCTGTTTGGTCCTAGAGCTCAACCAGTGTCAATTTAATATAAAGTAATATTGTTTTTGGATGGTAAAAAGTGCAGGGGTCAAAACTTGACTTTGGAAAAAGTGGGGGGGACATGTGCCCCCTGTTTCCCCCCCCCCCCCCCCCCCCCCCCCCCCCCCCCCCAAAAATTACGTCCATGGGTGGGTGTATTAGTCTGAGGATTTGTTTCTAGAAGTGGAGAGTGAGGTGAGGCAGGAGCTACCTGTGAAAACCCAGGCCCCACTAGCGCCATAGCGTGGGGGTCACACACTCCCACGGAGCCAGCAGCCCAGACAGCGAAGGGACACCAACGCCCAGCCTGAAGGAACCCACTGGGGGACGCCAAGCCAGGAGTCCCTAGCCCATTGATGCAGGCTAGCCAGGGTCAAGGCCACCCAAGCCAGGGCCACCAAAAGCAGGGAAACCCAGCACACGCTCCCACCCTACTTCCAAGCCCAAAACTCCAAATCCCTAGTGTTTTATAGCAGGATGATAGGAATGAGGTAGCAGCAGCAACACCATGAATTGGTCTTCTTTTGTCCCCACCCTTCGCAATCCGACAGCAGCAAGGAGCAGGAGCTGCCCCTAAACCCCTGGACCCATCCCACGTAGCCCAGAAATGGGCAGGCACAGCAGTGGACCCCAGCCTGCTGCTAATGCAGGTGATCGATCGGGCTTGAAGAGCATTTCCATCGCAGCATGCAACTCAGAGTCAACAACTGGATTTCCATTTGAACACACACAGGTTCTCAATGAATGAGACCTTTAAATTGTTCATTTTCTTCCAGTTCTCGAGAACTGCTTTCGTAGTTAGAAGTGGGAGGAGCATGTGAGATTTCCTCACCGATGGTTCGTGATGTTAGCAAGCAGGCAGAGAGGAGGGAGGGACAGGGATAGCGCAGTCTAGGCACAACGACAGGGTCTCACGTATGACCGTGGGTAGAGCCAGACCGCATAGGTGTCTGGTAGGTCCTCCGAGCTTCCACATGTACCTTCAAGCTCATCCGGAACATCCTTTTCCCACGTAACGTTTTCAATGGCAATTTTAGTGTCACATTAGCTGTGAATTGGTATTTTGAGTCTTTTTCTATTTGTTTCCTCAAATATCCGTCCGCAGATAAAAATCTGAGTTTATAAATTAATCTTGCTCCCCTTTAGTAACTGACAGAGACAAAATAACCATCTCAACCATCACAGATGGCTTCCTGAATGGGCTCAGTTTGCAACATAGAGCGTGTGTACCACATGATTATGCTAATGGGTGGTTTGAAAGCATCCAGATCCAAGTGTATTGCTGCCATCTTAAAACATGTCTAAGCTCCCGTTAGTTACATAAAAATCTGGTTAGGAGTTTAAAAATCACCGGAGTTGCTTTTCTTGTGCTTCCTGGGTCAAATCTGGCAGGAACATCGTATTTATTTTAGCTAAATTAACGTAAATGTTTCATCAACCGTTTCAAAGTGTTGAGGATTGGAGCAGCTTTGAAGTCATGAGTCGTTTAAAGTGTCTCAGTAAAAATAGTTTAACAATTTCAGCAGAGTTCTTTAAACAGCCTCAGCTTGGGGAAACAAAGATTATTTCAGGCTGGATAGATAAGCTCATGCCAGCTCTGTTAAGAAGTGTTTATCTTAAAACAACTTTATAATAAAATGTTTCATTGAAATTGGCTAAATCATCCTTTTCAGAAACTTCCCACCACCTTAAATGTCGTGATGATATTTATGTTGAATTCTCAGGTTATTTGCAACAGAAATTAGCAGCTAGGCTAATTAATAAAGCCAGAATGTTATCATAAATGTGCCTAAAAACAATGAAATGTGAATTGTGTGGCAAAACAAAGGCTTATTTGCACATTTTTAAATGAAATAGTTTAAAGATGCTTTAGAAGCGGCCTTGTTGTGGCTCGTTGCTGTTCATCTGTTCAATCAGAAATAATCTACATTTCTACAACGGGAAGTCTTTCAAAGGGCAATCTACAAATAGTGACAAAACCTTTCCAGAGAACCCCACGTGAACAGATCTGAACTATCTATTTAAAATTGCAGCAAATCGCTCTGCTGTGACTAGCCTTTAGCTTATCAAGCCTGGTAAACTGTATTTCTCTAAACAGAGGCTGTTCAGGAAACCATCTACAGGTAAGCTAGTTCATGAAAACACTTTGACAGAAGGTCAAATATCCCTTTAAATTATTAAATAGGTAAATAAAAGTGAAAAACTGTATAGGTGCAATAAAGGTTAAACACTTTTATTAAAATAAAATCCAAGGCTAATTTTTCATCTTTTAAAGAAAAAGTTATTTAAAATTTCAGGAATAAAGTTAAAAAAGGAAAAAAACACAACTCCAAGAATAAAGCAAAGTAGATTTTTTTTCTCGCATTTTTTAATGAGTTTGAGACAACAACAACAATAATAATAATAATAATAATAATAATAATAATAATAAACATAGTAATAAAGTGCATTTTTCTTTTAGATTTTCTTTAATTGAGAAATGTTTCCCCTCTAATTAATCGGTGCACGCTTAAATTACAAATACATCATAAAAGAAGTTAACGAAGGCTAGTGCACAAAATTTCACTAAACACCTTTGTCCATTCTCATGTCCCAGAATTTTACAAATCAGCCACATTTAGAGTATTTACCTGCTGACCGATGCTCATATTCTAAACCGTGGCCCCCTCCTTGCCCTCTTTTCCAGCCTGTAGTATTAAAGTTGAGGCTCGCAGTGATGAGGAGAATGGGCTTGCCTGCCACATGAATGGCATGGAGGAGGAGGAGGAGGAGGAGGAGGAGGAGTGCGCGGAAGACTTGCGCGTGGTCAATGCCTCGGGAGCCAAGGTGAACGGCTCACAGCCGAGCCCTGAAGCTAAAGCTTTCTCCTCAGCTGGTGGCGTCCGGCTGCCCAACGGGAAGCTCAAGTGTGATATCTGTGGGATAGTTTGCATTGGCCCCAATGTGTTGATGGTGCACAAGCGAAGTCACACCGGTAAGCTGTCTGCAATATTTCTTGCCCTTCCTTTGCACCCATGTTCACTGTTAGTGTGAGAGGAAGAGCTGGAGTGTGTTCTCAAGTCACACCACACAAACACAAAACGATGCTTCTGGTGGAAAAAAAACGCAGCTTCACTCTCCTATCGTGCATGAAATAGACTCCAAGCTGCACATTAGCCTTCATTAGCTTTAACGCATTTCTAATAAACAGTCACTTTTTAAAGTAGACTTTATCCAAACAACGAAAGAGAAACACGCAGTGAGGAAATCTGCTGCGGTAAAACCGAGTCTTCACAAAGTCGTAATTATCTGGCTAATAAAAGTTTCTCAAAATTCTGAATTAATGTGCTATTGTAACCGAGCCGAAGCAGTGGTGGGGAACATCTGTGAAAAAGGCACGTCACCATCGAGCTTTCAAAACCCATACAACTCAGAGCGGAAGCAAAGAGCAGCAGAATAATGTCGATGTAAGGAAAGTAGAATAAAAGACGTAATGAAACGCTTCCTATTTAAGCAGAAAATATTCAGAGGTAAGTCTTTTGCTCCTAAAATGCATTTTTAATGAATCCCCTTTTTATGTTTTTTTGCTGCTTCACTGGTGACCCTCCTTTTATGGCGGGCCTTTGAAAAAGAAAAAAAAAAGGAGCCATATTAAAATGTTTTCACAGAATGCCACAACACGCTTTGGGCTGGATATTGGTTGATTCCAGAGGCGTTGATCAGGAACGCTGGCTCTCAACACAAAGTGTTTCCTTTGCTTTATTCAAATGAGGCTGAATTTGCATTGTGATGTGCCACTGTTACTTTAGAGACGAAGAAGAGGAAAAAATGAGATTTTCAGATCGAATTGACCTAAGCAATGGTGCATTACGGAGCTAGCAGACTGAGTCTGAAAGGCTCTTGTTTAATCAGAGTGCCAGAAGTCGATGGGGCAAGGGGGAGCATGGAGAGATGGAGTGTCACTCTGCTACCAAACCCTCCCGCCGGCTGCTGGATCGCTCTCCGCCCCGGAGACGCTCCATCATACAGCTTGTTCTGGCGCTCGACAGGCTTGTAGACCAGTGACCCTGCAATCCCGCAGCTGCCAGTGCCGCAGAAACAGGACAAAGCTTAGAGATCTGACAGCAGGAGCATCACACACTCAGATTAGTCTAATGGTTTAAACACGCACACACACACACACACACACAGGTGCCACTGACACACAGATTCCCATGTATTACTTTATTGTGTGTGTTTCATCATTCCTTCTCGTTTGCATTCACTCGTCTGCTCCGTGTCTCCTCAGGTGAGCGTCCATTCCAGTGCAGCCAGTGCGGCGCCTCCTTCACCCAGAAGGGAAACCTGCTGCGTCACATCAAGCTCCATTCAGGGGAGAAGCCCTTCAAGTGTCACCTGTGTAGCTATGCCTGTCGCAGGAGGGATGCCCTCACGGGACACCTGCGCACCCACTCAGGTGAGAACCAGGGCTGGAAACCCAACTTTGGGACACCGAGTGGGAAGGTTCACAAAAAACAACTTCTGCTGAGGCTTCAGTTCCGTGTAAGGGGAAGTTGTTGGCGTGCAGATAAGGTGTCATGTGTTTTTGTTTAGTAAATGCTTTGCAGAAGTAAGTGCTAGTGAAATATGGGTGTAATCGATCACTTATGCTGGATAATTTAGGGGAACCGTAAAGGGACAGGCAGTCAAGAAGTTTCAACTACGTAGGATTCTTTAACTGTATGAAGTTTTAAAACATTATTACGTCTAATAGATCAGAACAAAATGTGATATCAGGAGGAAATAAAAAATATGTAGTTTTCTAAAAATATCTAATTTAGGGAGCCTAAAGCCTGATTTATGCTTCTCCGTCTGCGTCAGTGCGGAGACATGCAACGCCATTATCCGTCCTTGCGTAGGGCTCCGGCAGGCACGCAAGCACGTACGGAGTCGAGCTCTCTTTTTTAAACATCCGTCGAACGAGACGGATTACGCAAGCTTGTGATTGGTCAGGACGCCGCTGTTGTTTACAGCACCGCCATTGCAAAGAGAGCCGAGGATAACTAGCGGCAGACACGGAGAAGCTTGAAGAATACCTCGCGAAAAAACTCTAAAACATGAACGTTTAATTCTCCCGTGACTGGAGGAGTGAAAAGATGCCCAGCAAGCGTTTTATTTGTGGACGGAAATGACAGAAAACGTGGGTTTAGAGGTGGGGAGTGCATGAAGCGGTGGGAGAATGAGAGACAAATAGGTCCGTGTTAAAAGTCTCTTATATACACAAAAAACACAATATAAACACACGATCTTGGACCGATACATGACAGGATGCCACAGAACAGCGCTACGCCCTCTGTTGTCCTGCCGAGGAATTGCTTTGCAACACTCTCCAGGAGACGGAGAAGTAAAAGAGCAAAACGCTTCCGTCAATCCGTGCGTGTCTGTCCCTTGTGGAGCTGACGGAGAAGCATGAACCAGGCTTAAGTCCCGCCCATCTACTTCCAGACCGCGGCAAATAAGAAAAAACAAACGCAAGTCAATGTAGCTATAAAATTTATTTTCTAATCCCGTTTGAGATGCGCCGTGGATTTCACATGTGATGTCCGTGAATTTTAAAGACACATTCTGATGCCAAGAAAGCGCTTATTTTCAACAGGTGGCAAAAGTTATTTTCGGTTTTATGAGAAAATGTTCTTCCCACCAAGTTGAAATCAAACCAGTTTGGCGAGCTTTGAATATTTCTGCCAGGATGACAGAAGGAGCAATAAATGTGGAGAAAACCATCATAAATCTGGCCATGCGCTACGCAGGAGGAGAAGAGATTTTGCAGTGACGTCATATTTGTGATGATTTAGTCATTTTATTTCCAAATTTTTACAAGCTAAGTAATGTCCAACTATGTGACAGACGTAGGCAAAAGACACAGAATTTGTTTTCATTTAAATTGAAATACAACATAAGTGGGAATCAGGGCGTAAAGCCGGGCGTACACTGTGCGACTTTTTCACTTTTTTGAGCCGATTTTCCACTCGTGCGAGAATCCACAAGATCGGGGCGAGTTTTGCGCCGAGCGGTCGTGTAGTGTACAGGGGGTTACGAGAGGCGATTAACACCACGTGACCAGCTGCCGATCAGCAGTCGTGAGGTCGCACGGACTTCTGGCGTGTTTCATATTTCGCTCGTCCCTCGTGAGGGTATCGCACTGTTGAAGCGGCGCTGCGAGCAGCTGCGACCCAAAAAGTACCAGAACCGCTCACGGCGCATGCGCAATCCTGCATCAACACCGCTCGCTATTTCCCTAATAACACACGCTGTTCGTTTTTATTTCTACACGTTTTTTTACTCACAAAGATTGTCAAGAAAGCGTGTTTGTCGTGTTCATGTCAAATTAAACTGATCACAAAACACAGATTTACTTTCTTTATTTCGTTTTCCTCATCCAACCCCCATAAATCCCTGTGTGTCCTCCTGCAGCGCTCCCGAAGGACAACAGGCAAAATTCTGACATGTTGAGTAAAAACTGCTATTTTTATCATATTTTTAGGTCCGACGTGTTGCTACCAGACGTACAGTGTGAGCAGTCAGGTTGCATCCGAGAACTGGGTCGTACAGTGTGAGCGCATGACTCGTGAGATCTGCCCTGCGAGGAAGTCGTACAGTTTGAGCTGAAGCTGAGTGCTACGAGTGAAAAAGTCGCACAGTGTCCGCCCAGCTTAAGGCAAAGCGGGTTTGAAAATAGCTTTTATTGGCCCGTTCACTTGCATTTATTTTCTTCTTTGTTCCGGCAACCCTGAGCCGATCGGAAGGGGAGGAGACTTTAGCCCAGGGCACAGACGCGCTGCGCCACGTCATGCATTTTGAAAAGAAGCCATTATAGTTACTGAGAGTGGCTACACGGGGAGCACAAACGTCGCGTACCAGAAACGCCGGTCCGCACAGAGGCGCTGAAGATAGGCGCCAGTTCCATTTCAAGCACCGTGGTGTGGCTGTTTACGACATTGTGGAGTACTTAAAAATAGACATTACGACACGGAACAGCCGTAGGGCACAAACCCAACCACTAAAACATAGACGAGAAGCTTATAAATGCTACCAGATTACAGTATTGATAACTTTAAAGTACTATTGATTTTAAAATATTCTAATAGCGTGTTTAATGAATTAGTCTCACAAAGTGCAATAGCAAGTCTGATCACGTATGAACAAAAGAGTCACTTTCCGCTTCCTGTTCTCAAGTACCGCGTGATGTTGTGACCATCGCGCAATTTTCCAAGAAGCGCTCAGCGGTGTAACGAGTCCTGTGTGGCCATTTGACTTCCGAAAACAGCGGCGATTCCGTGGCGCAGCGGAATATGAAGGGAAAAATAAAAAATCAGATCCTATGTGAACAGATGATCCCCTTGTTAAGTCACAAAGTCTGATTAAACACATTCATAAAGCTGAGTTCAGCTCCACGGCCCACACTCAGACCCCATCACTACCAGACCTGTAGGAATATGAAACAACTACAGTAAAACCTGTCTGGAAACATGAATCAGGCTAAACAATCTCAAAAAGCAACACATCCTGCATTGTTGGTTCTTTTTTAAAACACAGGAAAGGTTTCTCTTCACCTTGCTGCTGACAGTTTCGTTCGCGGCTGCAAACATCCTCAGAGCTGACGCTGATGGTGATGTCACTTCCTTCTCCGTTTATCCGCGGCCAGCAGAGGACGTTGTCGCCCCCTGCTGCCCGCTCTCCCCTCTCCGATGATGCAGTCCCATGCACGATCCAACGTGTAGACCCCATCGTCCCTGTTCATGGTCCCACATCCACGTCTCCTTATCTCGATAGCTTCGTTTATCCATCTTTTGTATTTCTGTTGTTCGGTGTTTATGATCCTTGTGTTGTCCCAGTCCATTACATGGTTTTCTCTTGTGCAGTGATCTGTTATGGCTGACTTCTTTATTGTGCTTTCTGCCTCTTGTTTTGCTGCTCTTGTGTGTTTTCGACTTGTTTCTTTCTCCTACTCCTTTCTGTGTTCTATTGTTCGTGTGTTGAGTTGGCGTCCGGTTTCTCCTATGTGTGTTTTATTGCAGAGTTTGCATGGGATTTCGTAAACGACTCCACATTTAAGTCCAGCTGGTATCTTGTCTTTTGGGTGTACTAGTATGTTTCTAACTGTTGTGTATGGTTTTGCTGGTGTGTTTATGTTGTGTTTTCTCATTGTTACTCTCATTTTTTCTGTTATGCCTCTGACGTATGGTAGGGTCATCACTGGTTTTGGTTCTTTGCTTTGGTTGGTCTTCTCTTTCTGTCGTTTGTTGTTTTCCTTTGTTTATCGCCCAGCTCTGAGGAAGTTCGCAGCTGCGAACGAAACTGTCAGCAGCAAAGTGAAGAGAAACCTTTTCTGTGTTTTAAAGCGTTAGAAAAGCAACACAGTAAGAACATACCAAAGAAGCAACACATCCTGTATCTGTCATGTTGGCGTTTCATTTTCTAACCCACATGCAGAATCGGAGCCAGGAGACAAGGTAAGAAAAAAATTATGTTTATTAAATAAAGCGATGAGGAGTGGAGTGCAGGGTCTGAATCTAGCGGGAGAACACAGGAGGGTGAGGAGGCAGAAGGGAATGTAAGTAGTGCAGGCTGGAACAGTCTCACTAGACAACAGGGGCGCTGAGGAGGGAGTTGGTCTGGCCTGAGGTAGAGAGGTGATCAAAGGGGGATCCAATCGTCGGCGATGAGGGATGATGGTGATGACGAATCCAAACCGTGAAGCCAGGCAGGCGGGGGGAGAGAGCAGGCCAGCTGGCAGAGCAGGTGGAGACGATGTGGAGTAGAGATCGGTGAATTATAACCGGAGATATGTTGTGGAGTAATGTCTGCGGCACAAGAATAGCAGTCACAAGAGGCGCGGGGCAAAAAACAAAGACACAAGAGGTCATTTACTAAAGCTCGAGACTTGGTTGAACACCCAAACAGAGTAAATCATCCGACGCTGTGTAGGTCTCAGACTGCTCCTCTTATAGCCAGCCGGTGATTGCAGCAGAGTGGCTGCAGCTGAGCTGCTCCGCGGAACCGCCCACCTGCAGGAGAGATGACTTGGTAGAGATTAGGTTAAAACGTCCTCCATGACAGAGCTCCAACACCACAACCTCTGCTAACCTCTGCTGTCCCGCGTTTCCAAAATAAATAAAAAAAACATCTGGATGATCCCAAAGACTTCTGGATAAATGTTCAGTGGATTGATGAAACAAAAGCCAAACCTTCTGGAAGGTGTGCTTCCTGTTCCATTTGGAGTCATACTAACACTACAACATCACCACAGCAACAGTCAGACACGGCGGTGGTAGTGTGATGGTCTGGGGCTACTCTGCTGCTTCAGGACCACCTGCTGTAACTGATGGAACCGTGAATTCTGTTCTCTAGCAGAACATCCTGAAGGAGAACATCTGACTGTTGACCTTTAAAAAGGCCATTCCTGCTGTAAATCCTCCAAATTAAAACCAAAAACATGTGAGAGACTCGTTAGCAAACACCAGATACCGTTGTTTTCTCCACAGGTGCCAGATTTAGGGCTTGGTTACTTTTCCACACAGGGCCAGGCTGATTTGGACTGCTTTGGTCATTTAAGAAATAAACTTGCTCCGGCTGTCTCTGTCTGATATAGAATTTTGTTTCATGGTTGGAAACGTTTACCAAGTAAACACACTGAAATAATATCTGTAAGTTGGCAAAAACAATCCCTTTTTTACACCTCTATAATTCTAAATCATTCTCATTTTCCACCCAAATCCCCTTTGAATACATACATGATCCATTTGATCAGATTTTTACAAGTGCTTGAATTTTTATGGAGATGCTTCAAACTGAGATTAACTGTAGCACAATAATATATCAGTTTGTGTATAAAAAAAGCAAAACAATCAAGAATCTTCATTTTTGTGAATTTAAAGAACATTTTTGTTTGTTGCTGGTTCAATTCCTTTATTGGAACAATTAAAACAGTCAAAGAGGTGTTATTGTTGTTCAGATCAGCCTTTTCTTTTCTTCACTGATGATGATGATGATGATGATGATGATGATGATGATTTAAACATTTTTCCAGTTGGGAAGCCCCACAAATGTGCCTACTGTGGGCGAAGCTACAAGCAGCGCAGTTCCCTGGAGGAGCACAAGGAGAGGTGTCACAACTACCTCCAGTGCATGGGACTCCAAAACAACATCTACACAGGTCAGAGGCCCACAGGACACGAGCTAATGCCCTTTAATGTGTGCGCAGGACCATAGCATTGCTGCTAAATGGTGCTGCTGCAGCTGAATTTCCTGATTTTACTGTCCTTCGTAGAAAGGATGTGGGACGTGAAGTTTATTCTAGGCTCAGGTGGGAGTTTGAATATAAAAACAGCTGCAGAGCGACTCGTATGAGGACAGTTGTTTTGGGGTGTCACGTCCGCTGCACGTAGATCTATCTGGTACTGGAAGAAAACAAACTAATTCAGATTAAATTGATGCTGAAATTTACTTTTCCTTCTTTCCAATAGTAAAGGAAGAAAGCAACCAGAATGAGCAGAGGGAAGACTTAAGCCAGACGGGATCTGAGAGAGCCTTGGTGCTAGACAGACTAGCTAATAACGTAGCTAAACGTAAGAGCACTATGCCACAGAAGTTTGTGGGTAAGGGCTGAAATCTGCTTTCCTTTGTTTTCAATCAAATGTTGTTGATGCTGCTGGAAATGAAGCGCTGTGTTTATTCATGCCACCTTGGCTCTGCATGCATGGTCCAAGGCTGTGCTTTGAATCAAGCCATTTTTAGCAAGACATGACCTGAATGTTTCTGTCTCGTTCTGTGTGTTCACTTTAACGTATTCATGACAAGAATAAAAAAGGAAAACAGCATCAGACCAGATTTACTAACAAGAGACCATGAAATGAACTACAGACCAGCAGGCTTCATATCAAAGGATGTTTTGGACATTTTTGGTGTGTTTCTGTGTAAAAGTTAAAAATAATGAATGTTTCAAGTTTTATAAATGGCTTCAGTTCTTATGGACTGACAGGCTAACTGGTAGTCTGAATGACCTAAGGGCTGCCATCTGTACCTTTTAACCCTTGAAATGGGAAATAATCATTTATATTAATTAATGCTGCAGTTTTATTTTATAACAATATAACAGAAATAAAATCGTCCCTTGCTTTCTGTAGATCCTCCTCTAGAGTGCAGCAGGACTGGATATGGCAGGTTTCTGATAAAGGTACTAATCCTGATTGTCATGGTTTGGGGAAGGTGTCTAACCCAAGACACACAGAATCACGAACCCGTACACAGATTGATGGAAAAAATAAAATGATTGTGTTTAATAATGAGAACTGAGGACGGGCTGGGAATTCCAGCGGATCAGGAGAACGGGAAACAGCGTCTGGATGGAGAGCAAACCAGAGGCGAGTCCTGGGAGAACAGTCTAGGCAGGATATGCTGAGAGGAGACTTACGGAGGATGACTGGGTTTGGGAAATGAGGGGAGGTTGAGAGCCAGGGTGGATCCAGAGGGGAGATGTTCAGAGCTGGAGAGGGAGCGTGAGGTCGAGAGCGAGAGAGCGGGTTGGTCAGAGAGGATGATGATGAACGTGACTGAGCGAGGAGTCCAGGAGTCCTATGAGAGTTGAGCGAGTACTTCCTGGTGTGCAGAGAACCTGAGGTGGGTAGGCCAAAAATACAAAAATCACAATGAGATCAAAAAAACACACTAGAGTATTTCCAAGAGAAAACCTGAGGACTAGAGCGAAGGCTGGAAACTACCGAGACGTAGTAATCATCCGGCGTCGAGCTGTGTTCACCATCTCCTTAAGTAGTCGACCCGCTGATCAGCTGATCTGGTGCAGCTGCCGCTCCCTCTCCTGCAAGCACACTCAGAGATGTTTAGTGAGAGCGAGTACTCACCCCGGCTCACGACACAGATGCTCCATCTGGAGGCTTTAAAGAGTCAATGTGTGGCTTCTACCATTAATCTCTGGAAACATCTATCGAAATGAAAATTAATGAAATGATGCCCAGAGGTTGAAAAACATTGGCGTTCAAAAGTTGCACTCCCACGGGCTTTTGACCCTAATGGCCATCTTTGGGAAGGTCTTACTCAAACACAAAAATACCGCTTGCTTGCAATGATTTAGGGATGTACTGCCCCCTATCGCCATGGAAAATACACACCGTCACTTTAAGACAGGGATCTTGAACTCTGATCCTGGAGCTCCACTATTTAACATGTTTTAGTTATTTCCCTGCTACAGCACATTTGATTCGTTGGTTGATTTTCAAGGTCAGCCTGTTAATCACCTGATGTGTTGGAACGGAGTAACGACACAAGGAGTTAAAATAGAACCGATCTCCAAAGCTTGAAGAGAATCTGTCTGGCCCGTTTGGATGGTGCTGACGGTTCTGATCTGGTTTGATTATAATTATTTATAACTTTTACACAAAGACACGCCTCAAAATGGTTGCAAAGTCCCTTTGAGACAATCGGGTGGAGATGCATGTTGACCTGTCAGTAAATGTTACCTCTGTCTTTCATCAGGAGACAAACGTCTGTCTGATCTGTCTTACGATGGAGGGACAGGCGAACTGATTCAGCCCCACGTGATCGACCAGGCAATTAACAGTGCCATAAGCTATTTAGGAGCTGAATCGCTCCGGCCCTTGGTCCAGACCTCCCCGGCCTCTTCCTCTGACGTCGGTCTCAGCTCCATGTACCCCCTTCACAAGCCAGCGACAGAAAGTCACTCAGGGACAGGCCTATCAGCCAAAGACAGTGCTGCTGAGAACCTGCTGCTGCTCTCCAACTCCAAGTCTGCCTCCATCGAGAAGGACGGCTCGCCCAGCCACAGCGGCCAGGACTCTACCGACACCGAGAGCAACAACGATGAGCGACCGGGCGCGGCGGCTGCTGGGCTCATCTACCTGACAAACCACATCACCTCGGGGGTACGAAACGGCATGCTACCGCTGGTGAAGGAGGAGCAGCAGAGGCAGTACGATAGCCTACGGGCCAGCATGGAGACGTCCTCCGAGGTCTTCAAGGTGGTGACGTCGGACGGGGAGCAGGTGAGAGCATACAGGTGCGAGCACTGTCGTGTGCTCTTCCTGGACCACGTCATGTACACGATTCATATGGGATGCCACGGCTTCAGAGACCCATTCGAGTGCAACCTCTGCGGCCACAGGAGCCAAGATCGATATGAGTTCTCCTCTCACATTACACGAGGAGAACATCGTTACTGAGCCACACACACACACACACACACACACACACACACACACACGTATCTGTAATGAATACATAGATATACAAATGATAAAATACACTCTTTGTGTCTGTATTTTTGTTGTTGTTTTCATACGGTGTATGCATGTGCGTTGATCCCTGGTAGATGTTACAACTGTTAAATCGTTTCAAATGTGATAAAGTGTTTAAAAAATGCACCAAAAAAGCATCAAAGACAAAATCTTCAAACATGTTCTTTCTTTTGGATTTTTTATTGTGTTTATTTTTTGTTTTTCTCGATTTTAAAAAGAGATTTTACAAACATCTGCTCTGAAAAACCTAAAGAATTTCACCCTGGGCTTTTTTTTTTCACGGAAAAACTGCAAACAAATACAATCAGCAAAAACTTTAACAATCAGTGTAGATAAATCCACCACTCTGTTATCTCTGTGTTTGTAAAAACCTGAATATTATTTATGAAGCATTTCCACACCTGTCTGTTCTGGTATTTATTGCAGTGAATGATGTTTGTCTTATAAGTAGTAAAACCTGCATTTCTTTCTGTTCATTTTTACTAAACTGGATTCATGACTACTGCTAAAATGGCTTGGTTCATAAAATATAATAAAGGTAACCTCGTTAGAAGGGAGCTTTACGCTTTAAAATGTCAATAAAGGATATTTTATATATGCACATAATGAGGAGTGTTTTCTGTTTGTCTTTATTTCAATATTTGTAGCTGATTTTATTGCAGTTAGATTTTTCTTTATTGTTTTTTTTAATGATGCCAATTAGTGGGTTAAAAGTTTACTACAAAATAAGACATTAAATCTTGGATTTTGACTTTTCTGAAATAATTATGCGCACGTCATTCAAGATGGGCTAGTTCAGACCTGCCAAGAGAAATCCAAGACGCACCGAATGACTGACACTCATGCAAAAAAAAAAAAAAACATGGAAATAATGCAGGAAAATAAACAAATAGCGGAAAATATATAAATGCTAACTGCACAATTAGAGTAGGTGCAAAGAAGGTTTTGTAGTTTTTATATCAGCTGTTTTGATAAAATGTGGATTATTACTTTTCTGTATTTTTATTTTAATTTTTGATTAAAGAATTTTGTTATGTTGACACAGCGTGCACCAAAATACAGACGCATTCTGAAGCTGAGGAATCAGCAGCAGCAAGCAGAGGGACATGGTGGATAAAGCACCGGAGCAGAAAGCAGGGTCCGGGGGCTCCGAGGGCCGGGCCAGCAGGAGAAACTCTACTGAGTTCTGCAGAGGCAGACGCCTCCAGATGGTGGCTGTATGATTTAACAGGAACGGAAGCAGCTGCAGTCACAGACACCCCCCACCTACTGACCCAAGCTTGATTAGGAGTCTAAAAGGGGGGTAGAGATTTGCATAAGAGGAATTTTTAGCCAACCAAATCCAGCCATGCCAGAATCCCAAGTCTCACTTCCTCTTTTTACCCTGGTGATTAAAAACTCCTCAAAGAAACTCAAGACTCTTCATGAGTGTGAAAGAATCCTGCAGCATTTAGAGAAATATGTCATAAATCTGCTCAAGTATTAGAAATAATCTCTTTTGTTCAATGTCTGTAATTGCACTTAATCTCAATTAAACCTTCACACACACAAACACACATATACATGTGTGCATATTTACATGTAAATATATATATTTACATATATAGTAAATTTACCTTTTAAAACATTATATATATATATATATGAATGTTTTGTCAGAGAAAATATAACTTTTAAAATTATAATAAAGCAGCTGAAGGTGGTTTTTCATTCATTTTTTCATTCACAATATACCTTTTTGCTAAATAAATAATCACGTGTATATCATGCATTGTTTTTCACTAAAAATAGTACAACCAAATGATTCAAATGTCCTGATAAATAAAAATTTTAAATGAATCCTTATGAGTATATTAGTGAATGCCAAATTTTTCTTTGGGCCGTCAGATAAACCAAAAGCTCATTTAAACAAGCTTTTCTAGATGAGGGCCACAATTATAAAGTTCAAAGTTCTCGTGTGTCACAAATGTAATTTATTTTTTTAAATGCAAACATTTTTATGCAGATGTTTTATTGTACTGCCCCCAAAAAGGCCTAAAATACTTAATATGACAAATAATAAAACACATAATATATGTTAACTACTTGATTGAGCAACAAAATTGAGCCAAACTGCACCTGTCTAAATTATATAAACACACACACACACACACACACACACACACACACACACACACACACACACAGAGAGGGCCGCAACTGGCCCCCTGTGCAGCACTATGCCTGTTTTAAAACTAAAGAAAATAAAAAATCCTAAGCAACATTTTTTTTCCCAACTAAATGTCTTTACTGTCTATCAGTTGGGAAACCCTCCGCTCGTCTATTCCCCGGTAGAAGTACCGTGTGACTTATGACCATGGTGCCACAGATGTGACCACCACTACCCAGCCAGAGTCAAACCGAACAACAACCTCACACCATATGGCACACTTTTCATTCCACCCTCCTTGGACTCTGTGAATCCAGTCAGCACCAGAGGAATTCTGTGCATCTGTCCCGGTCCAGCTGTGAGAAGTCCCCGTGTTCGAAGAGAGCCACGGGGGTGTCTACTTTCACTGCTGGCTGTTTCAACAAAGTTTCATTACAGAGGCCAAGCACAGAAGTCTGAAATATTAATCAGGGACTTGACAAAAAGATGAAAAATGAATGAAAGTCTTTTTTCATGGTCTTCCAGATTTTCAAAGATTTGTTCATTAAATTTGCATGTGTTTCGTTTAATGTGTGCACAATCTATAACGGTGCTCACTCTGTATTAAGCAGAAAAACATTCAATTTTAAAGACGTTATGTTAAAAATGTCATAATAAAAACTACCTCTTAAAATTTTGTTTATTTAATTAGCAGACAATTTTATCCAAAGCGAATAGATGTAGAAATGCTGTAAATTCACCTAACGTGAACATTTTTGGTCTGTGGGAGAAAACTGGCGTATCCGGACAAAGCCTACGTGCGCATGGGGTGAACAGTTCCACATGTGGGGATTCAAACCTGCAACTTTCGTGACGAGGCAACCGTGCTAGCCTTTTCACCAATCTATCAAATGTGTCCATTTAACTAGTCGTGCATCACTATTTCACTGTAAAAAATAAAAATACACTTCAGATTTTTGCTGTTTATGTTGTTCTTGCTAATGTGTGTTGAAGTCGTTACAGTGTGGATGTTATTACATTTAAAAAATTTGTGGGGATTTAATTTTATTTATTTTAAATCTCGTTTGTTGCTTTGGTCAAACATGTGTGCATTCAAAGCCAAATGTATACTGATTACAAAAAATTTATAATTCTAATATCTGTACCTGTAATTATTTTTTATTTTATGTGACTGTGAACAAGTGACTTTGGGAGCTGTAGACTACAACTGAAGTTTGCCGACTTGGGCTGTATAAAAACAAATTGGCACATGTAAGCGGTATTTTGACATCACTAATCAAAAGTTGTATATTCAGCACATTTTCATTTGTTACTTATTGTGTTTATTACTAGGGGAAAGTATAGGAAAGGAGAATGTAGGCAAGAGAGAAGGAAAAGAAGTGCTTCGAGGAGTTCAGATGGATGCCTGATATTGCTACATGTGACGCAAGATCGAAAAAAGCTTAGAAAAGGAATTCATGCCTACTTGTGCCACTTTCTGATCAGCTTACCATAACAGATTTCAGGTTAAGTTCTACAGGACCGAGGAGCTAACTGCTAATCTAAATGTAGCTGGTACTTATGCTGTAGCTCAGTTCTCCAAATTTCCAGATATACTAATATATGGTGTTAAATTATTTGCACTGCGTCAATCTCACATCAGTTATTTGATTTGATTTAGGGGCAGCAGTAGCTCAACAGGTTGAGCGGGTTGTCCAGTAATCGGAAGGTTGCAGGTTCGATCCCGGCTCCGGACAGAGAATTCTGCTGCTGTGTCCTTGGGCAAGACACTTAACCCACCTTGGCTGCTGGTGGTGGTCGGAGGGACCGGTGGCGCCTGTGCTCGGCAGCCTCGCCTCTGTCAGTGTGCCCCAGGGCAGCTGTGGCTACATTGTAGCTCATCACCATCAGTGTGTGAATGTGTGTGTGTGAATGGATGAATGATACACTGTAGTGTAAAGCGCTTTGGAGTCCTTACTCTGAGAGGCGCTGTACAAATGCGGGTCAATTATCATTTATTTGGGCAGAAAATTCTGGAAATCCAGATGTTTTACATATTCCTGCTTCTATTTATACGTGTAAGGAATTAAATAAGATTATGTAAATTATTGTGTAATCAAAACTGATGAGGTGTAATTGTCTTAAATAATTTCTCATGACATGCTGTGAAATTTAGAAAGTTGAAGCTGAATTCAGACTAGCAGTTAGCTCATCAGTCAGATGTAAACACCTGACAGAAGCAGATCGTAATCATTTATGTCTTATACTAAAACACAGTTTATAATTGGATACAAGTCTGTGCTGCTCAATTGTAGCTACCAGATCTAGCTTCTGAAATCATGGAGGTGTCTCTACTAGACAGGAAAAGGATCAAGTGGCAGAAAAAAGGCAAGAATACATTTTTAAAAGATGAGAATTTTTACAGGTGTAAATTTTCTTTTATTTTTTTAACAAGAGTATTTCAGCAAATACCTGCAGCAACAATGCCAATGATGCAGCACATGTTGACATTTTGACAAACATATTAAATAAAACGAGAAAAACTGAAGAAAGTCTTAAATTCTAAGTAAAACAACGAAGATCCTCTTTGCTGTAGGATGACTCGTAGAACTGTTAAATACATTCAGACTAATAACAAAAAAATAGTGTCTCAAGAGTCCAAACCAATGGGAAAAACTGGGACAACCGACATCTAAATCAAGATTTCTTGATAATAGTTAAGCAGACAAGCAAAGTTTAACGACCACATCCGAAGGTCTTATTCCATTCCTCGTACAGCTCCAGGTCCTTAGCTGAGACGCTAGGCCGAACGGTCTTCAGGGCCTCCTGGAAGTCACTGAAGAGGATCGGTCGCACCTGATCTGCAGTGATGGTAGCAATGTCACACAGCTGAATGCTGCGAATTGGCCCCAGGGCAGCCTCCCTGCAGAGCTGAGTCATATCAGCTCCAGAGAAACCTTCTGTGGCCGTTACCACGCTCTCCAGCTCCTGCTCCCCCAGACGGTTCTTCTCTTGAGCCATGAGGCTTGTCACTATCTGCCTTCGAGCTGCCGCTTCGGGCAGAGGGATGTACATTCGCTTGGCCAGACGTCGACGGGCGGCCTCGTCGATCTCCTGGGGCCGGTTTGTGGCCCCCACCACCAGGATGCGGTCCTCGGCCGCGGTGGCCGCCCCGTCTAACTGGACCAAGAACTCCGTCTTAATCCTGCGTGATGAGTCGTGTTCCCCGTCAGTCCGCTGGGACAGCAAAGAGTCGATTTCATCGATGAAAATAACAGCAGGCTGGTGGCAGCGAGCGACGGCAAACAGAGCTCGCACCATTTTCTCTCCTTCGCCCACCCACTTGGATGTGAGTGAGGAGGCGCTGATGCTAAAGAAGGTGGCGCCCGATTGGCAGGCGATGCATTTCCCTATCAGAGTCTTTCCAGTTCCTGGAGGACCAAACAACAAGATTCCTTTGGGAGGTCCACGGAGACCAGTGAAGATATCAGGACGTAGCATGGGCCAGACCACAATCTCCTTTATGGTGGTCTTGGCAAACTCCAGGCCTGCGATATCCTCCCAGACCACAGAAGGCCCGTGGTCCATGATCTCACTCATGATCAACTCGATTATCTTTGGCTCGAAATTCTTCAAACGCTCATCCAGGACTTGGGGCTCTGGATTGGAACGGTGGTTTTCCATGGTGCCTTCCTCCTCGTGGCGTGGGATGGGGGACACGAATTTAGAGTTTGTCCCTCGAGGTCTGTTGGCTCCTAGAGACTTCTTCACCGTTGCTGCCACCCCCCCAGTGGGATGCCCTCTTGAGGGCTGATGGGAATGCTTCTTCTGATGATCGATGATGAACTGTTCACGGGCGGTTTTGAAGTTTCTGGCTCGGGGCTCGGTGCCGGGTTTGCCCCTGCTGCCATCTTCTCCGTCTGGATTGTAAAAATTCTTCTGTTTTGGTTGGTTGGAGGAGGGAAAGAAGACACCCTGAGAGTTCTGCTTCACTCCTGCCGTGCTCGAGCTCTCTTGTGGCAGCGCTGAAAAGGATTGAGGCAACACAGACTGGACTTGAAATAGAGGACGAGAAAATGAGTTCTGGTTGACCCCGCGTGCATCAGACCCCCCCTGCCTCTCCGCAGACATATTAGTTAGATTACTGGAAATGTTTTTGACGTCTGAACCAGGCTGTGGTGGTCCCATAGTTTTACCCCATGCAGCTGCTGACCTGGTTGTGGTAAAGAGATCAGAGCCTCCATTTTCTAGTCCCACTGGTATGTTTAGGTCTGCCGTTGCCACCGTGACGCCGTCTCCCCATGTACCTGCCTGAATCATCCTCTGCACAGAGGAAATCTGCAGCACGCTCTCTGCTGAAAGGGAAGACTCCCATTTGTCGCTGTGGTTTCTCTGACTGCGAGCCAGATGAAGCGCACTCTCTGCATAGTTGTTGAGTCCAGTGTGGGGGTCATCTGAGTCCAGCACTGCGGCGTAGCGCTCTGAGTAGGTCCTGAGCAGGCTGCCCATGCCAGCCAGAGAGAGCTGAGAGGTTGCCCATGCATACTGAATGGAGAGGATGTGAGCCCGATAGGCGTCCGCCTTCTGTTCAGGTGTGCAGGTGCCAGATAAAATGTCAAAGGACCTCCTCTGCCATTCCTCCAGGTGTGTGCCACTCATGCCTGGCCTACCTGGTAAAGGAAAGGGGACAAAAGTGATTAAAAATGCATGCCCTCGATAAACACAGAGGCACACATTATGTCTGACCCACAGAAATTAACCTCTTCTCGCCCAGCCCGTGTCATTTGGGTCAACGTCACTAGTGATTCAAACTTTTAAAATGTTTTTCTGCTGCATCGACACGAGTGGCAGCGACCCTAACGACCCACAGCAGGGGCGGGTGGGTACAAGTCTCACGTGTGACCGTTCCAATGATTATTCATAAAACTGGAACTCCCGACTTGTGATCAGAACAACTCAGCGATTAAAAACGTCCAAATCCTGAATGGACCAGCAACAACATAGGAAAGAAATGTTTTTATTTTTTTACTTTAATTTAAAATCCTCTTATTTGATTTGTGATATTCATGATCATTTTATAATTTCATGACTATTTTTTCTGATTTTAATAGATTTGAAGATATTTGCTGTTTTGTTCCAAGCATTTTGATTTCATGATTTGTTTTGTTTTGTTGGTCTCTGTGAATCACTTTGTGATTCTCTGGGATGAGTGCCATATAAAACATTTAATAAATAAATTTACTTAGAGAATACGTAGAGAAAATTTGGACACGATATATAATTTAAATGTCAGAAGACCCATGATTTACTGGCTTATAGTTTTATATCAATAAGGTAGCATTTAAAAGACGTTAATAAATTAAATATGCATATCCTCTTCTCTCAGCAATCTTTAGAGATCATTTCAAATAAAAGTATTTGACTACAAGCCATAAAACACATTTTTAAAGAGCAAGTCACCCCAAGTCTACTTTTTGCTGATAAACTATATAAACGAGTGTCTAATCGTGCTGTAGACACGTATATTCAATAATTTAACACTTAAGTGCATCTTAGTTAAAATTTAACTATTCTGCCAAAAACTGTCAGTGTTGTGCCATCTTCAGGTAAAAATTTGGCACTGCAATTGAATTTAAATCTCTCGTCGCTATTGGCTAAGCGTCACCCCATGACGTCAGCTGGTACCATATGATGTCACAATGCCGTTGTGCGCCTGTATGTGTGTATTTGTTAGCTGCTCCGCCCTCTCGGTCTGCCAGGCAACAGCATTCATTGCGTTCTTCAAACATGAAGTGGGAGTGGAGTAAGACTCTGGTAGGGGGTGACTTGCTCTTTACCATTTTCAATTAAAAAAAAATTTAAATTTTGAAATGCTAAAAATTTTCTTCAAACTCCATCTACTGCATTTGCCACAGAAACGGAAATAGACAGGAAAACAATTTGGTCAGAAAGGGCCAGACTCTTCCAAGTTACAGGGAAAATTTGTAATTACAGCTCCGCCCACCTTGGTCTCAACTAGAAGAAGCTAACCATTAGCAACTGCACAGCATGGTGGCACATGTTCACACTTGTGTTATTTGGAGATATAAAACATCAACATTTCATTTTTTAACCAAGAAAGAGTGAACGAAGGCAGCGGAAGAGAGTTGCTGTTAGACAATCAGAGGCGAGGCATTTGAATTCATTAATATTAATGAATCGGAATTAGGGCTGCAGGATAGCAGGAAAACCTGCAATATTCCATAACAATGATTAATATTGTGATGACATTATTACTGGCAAAAAATAAAACGTTAACTTAGGAACAAAAATGATCAAAAACAAAAAATAAAAAATTCATAAAACTGAAAAAAGTAAAAGACGTGAGGAAAGGGAAAAAGAAAAATGAACAAGAAAAGGCAATCAGTGGATCCCGGGAAATGCAGAATCAGCAAAAAAAGCAGAACAAAGCTAACTCAGGTGTTTGCTAACCGTCAAAATTAAATGCCATCCGGCTCGGGGCGGACATCTAGCCTATGAGAACCCACCCATTTGACCAAATGGGTGAAGAGCTCTATTTGATTTGTTAGATAAACATAATGCTTTCGTTTGATTGACAGAATACATTATGTTTAGCAAACATTTGAGCTGACCATTCATTGCAATATTTGTCCGTTCTTTGCGATATGCATATTGTGCATGCTGATTTCGCGATAACGATATATTTACGATATATTGTGCAGCCCTAATCAGAATCCTTTCATTTTACTTATCTTATGATAATGTCAATTAGTAGAATAACTTGCTGAATCGCTCTCCACCTTTAAATCTAGACTCAAAACCCACCCGTTTCAGACTGCCTACTGCTAGTGTCACCTTTTCCATCTTCACTGATTTTATTATCTAGTTTGTATTTTTTAGGCTTCTGCATGTGTTTCTTGCTGTTTGTAACTTGGTTTCGTTGTTGGTTTTATTGCTGTAAAGTGTCCTTGCGTTCCTTGAAAGGAGCTTTTAAATAAAATGCATTATGATTATTATTGAATTAAATTATTAATAGCCTGCACTTTTTTTTATGTTTTTTGTAGTCGAGAGGACTTCAAAAGTGCTTTAAACTACAGTGACTCATTCGTTCATCCACACACAGATGGTGGTAAGTCACATTTTAGCTGTCCTTTTCTCTGTACTACAGCTGTAATTCTAAGAACGTACAGCTAATTGGCCTTTATCAGATGAAAACTACACGGGATTATGTACCGTACGTGAGCTAAACGACACTTGTGGTCGTTTGTTTACACGTTCTATAAAACGAATACGTATTTGTAGAAAACAAAATGTGAACGGTAAACAAGCCTCGATACTTACTATAAAGGTATTTCCTTTATGAGGAGGAATTAGAGTTTCGACACCCCCGCTGACACTTAAACATTAAATCTATTTAAATTACGAAGACATATTGCCGCCACTTGCTACTTCCTTAAATGCTACGACTTCCTGTCTTGTTCCATTACCGAATCAAATACACAATTTGTGATAAAGCTATTAATGTTTCATTGGCATTTTGAAAAAAGCACACAACCTTTAATTATTATTTACGTTTCATAAATGACGAGAGTTATTTTAGCATTAACGAAAAAGGCTAAAATTATAGAATTTGGCAAACTACTTTGTCAAAACATATTGGAACGCGGCCTTAACTTTGTCTCGAGCAGGACGTTTTTGGAACGATTACGTCCAGTTTAGACAGTTTTGATTTTAAACTCAACATGAATAATCTAATATAATAATGATTCTTTTTTAAGGACATCCCTGTTCTACACGGGAATGTTTTTTTTTTCTTAGTTTTGAAACTTAGTTTTGACTAGACTTAGATCGAACGCTACTCTGCTTTGTAGGAAAGTCTACACTGCCATCTTGTGGCCACAACTAAAAGTAGGTTAGAGATCGCATAGGTGTGTTGCATTTTGGGAAATGTGGTATATAAACCTTAATAAAAGTAGCTGGGCAGCGAAATTAATTTTAATTCTGTAGATGAAGCACGCTTATGGATTAAATAGTTTTGATTGTTTTCGAAACTTGTTTCGTGGGGTATAAAAATAGTTAAATATAAGCGACTCTTGACGCTTATAAATAAATAAACTACAATAACCATAAAGCTACCGCACCGTGTCTATGCAGGCGAGCCGCGACCAGTAGACGCGTCTGTGCTTCAGAAAATGAAACACGCACCGCAAGTGGGTTAATATTGTCATTTTTTTGCTACACAGTTTATTTTTTAGTGTTTGGTAAAACGTTAAAGGTCACGTGGAAGAAAAGCGCCACCAGCAGCTGTTCGAGTTTAGCCAGCGTTAGCCGGTTAGCTTAGGCGGAGACGGGTTAGAAATTAATCCAGACTGGACCAACTGTGAGATCCGTTAGCAGCAGACAGACACACCCTTGTCTGGGATTAGTGGATGGACCTTGTGTGAGCCGTGAGGGATACTTATCATGCTACAGCTTCCTATACGAACTGGGTGTGGTAGTGGAGCCAACTGGGCACCAGTCTGAGTTCGCTGGGCAGTTTAAATATGACTGACTCGTCATCATGGCACGGACAGAGGAGATAACCCTCATCCGATGAGGCTAGAACCCCATGCAGCAACGTTAGATACACTCTAGACTGAAGTTTGCGCTGTTATCCGTGATTTCAGCCTGCGTGGCACGATGAATCCTGCGATGTACACTTTTGTTAGCCGCGATGATAACAGCACTATTTATGCAGAAGTTTCCAAAATCTTGCTCTCCACGGGGAAGTGGAAAAAGCTGAAAAAAGACAATCCCAGGTTTAACTTGATGCTTGGGGAACGAAACAGACTTCCTTTTGGACGTTTAGGTGAGCACGAAATAATCTGATCTGTGTGTGATACTTATGTACAGCCTCAGGATGAGTCTGCATCCTGCAGCGTGTGTGTGTGTGTGTGTGTGTGTGTGTGTGTGTGTGTGTGTGTGTGTGTGTGTGTGTGTGTGTGTGTGTGTGTGTGTGTGTGTGTGTGTGTGTGTGTGTGTGTGTGTGTGTGTGTGTGTGTGTGTAAAGACTTTTAAATACTCAGTTTGATTTTCCAGGCCATGAACCTGGTCTGGTGCAGCTGGTGAATTATTACAGGGGGGCAGATAAGCTTTGCAGAAAGGCATCCCTGGTCAAGTGAGTATCAGCCTTTTTTATTTACAAATCTGTGTTTTTGCACTAATACGCTGCTCTAAAAGTGAATTAGAAAGATTTGACTCGGCTGCCTGTTGTCGTTCTTCCTCATCAGGTTAATAAAGACCAGGCCAGAGCTTTCTGATTCCAGTAACTGGTTTCCAGAGTCCTACATCATCTACCCCACTAACCTCAACACTCCTGTTGCTCCAGCTTCAGACGGCATCAGCCATCTGAAGAGCAACCCTAAGACAGATGAGCGGGAGGTTTTCCTGGCCTCCTATCATGCTAAAAAGGAAAGTGGAGAAGGCACAGTTTGGATCGCCAAATCTTCTGCTGGAGCTAAAGGTGGAAATTTGTACCTGAGTTATTAGTAAAGCTGCACAAAATGAGAAAAAACAAGATGCTGTACTATCGTCCCACATTGTTTTTGTTAATATTTTTCTGTACTCTCATCACATCATATTTGTATATCAGTTCCACTTCTGGCTCCAATCACAAAAGAAATCACATATTTAAACATTTTTGGTCATGTTCCACTTTGAGATCTTCTTTTGTCTTACCTTCCTAATGACACAGGAATGACCCTCTCAGAGGGCGCACGCCTCTTGTGGTGTTATAAAATCAGTATAAGTACAAATTGTAGAACGAGGGCAAAACACACCGCAGAAAATGCTGCGAATCAAACAATGTGCCTGTGTTGTTTTTAATTATGACCCTCAGAATTTGTTCCAGAGATGGTTTTCCATGTGTGCTCCTAATTAGGGCGATATTTTAAAAATATCAATGTAATTTTTAAACAAGATACAAGATGACTTTATATCGATACAACTGGCCAAACTGCTATGCTAGCGATTAGCTGCTATGCTAGCGACATGTTGCTCCGTCTCTAAGCGGCTATTACTTTTATTCTTACAAGTTTGCTCTATCTGAGAGCCTCTGGGTAAATGTGCTGCTCTAAACTTTACATTTGGCGTCCTGGTTTTTAATTATTTGGGGACGTTCAACGCCAACGGATTTCAGTTTTTCCGTCTTGCGTGTGCGGAGCCGGAGAGACCAGTCAAACCTCTCCCTCCCCTGTGTAATCGGGAAACATCTACGGATAGCCAGAGTGGCCAAACATATTGTAAGGGTTTGAATAGTAAACTACAGGGTTAGGGTTATGTTTTATCTGGAAGGCAAGCTCAGCGGGTGAGAAATGTTGTTCCGGTTCCATTATTTTTCCGGTTTCACTATGCTAGTAAATACTCCGTTACGAGCGATTCTGTTGAAAAGGTTAAG